ACAAGGTAGTTTTTACAAGAGGGTGAGTTTGCAGTAACTCTGAGATTTACAGATTTCCCATAAATTTGGGAGTGGACAGGCCTGGGAGAGGGACTGGCTTGGGGAAGTGACAGACCTGGGACAGGATGCAGAACCTCAAGTTAAAATTATTTCCTCATCCTTTCTATCTACTTGAACTCCTTTATGTCTCCTGTTTGTTTTGTTTGTTGTTTCTTTGTTTGATACTAGGGATTGCACCCAGGGGTGCTTAACCACTGAGTCTCATCCTCGACTCCTTTTTATGTTTTATTTAGAAACAGGGTCTCCCTAGGTTGCTCAGGTCTTGCTAAGTTTCTGAGGCTGGCTTTGAACTTGAGATCCTCCTGCTTCAGCCTCCTGAGCTTCTGGGGTTACGGGTGTGACCCACTGTGCTTGGCCCTCTACCTGTTTCTGATTTCTTGTATCCTACCTCACAGGGAAGCCTGCAAGGTGCCTTCCTTCTTTGAGTCAGGCGGTTCTTTTCTCTCTCAGTTTCTTTGCCTGCCCCACTCTCCTGCTGATCTCCGATCTCTGAAGATCTGTTTTCATTTACAAACATATCATATCATTCCCTACATATGTATGTATGCTTGTAGTATGTGTGTGTATATGTATGCATATATGTAGTGTGTATACACACACATAAGTATATACTATATGTAAAGATTGGAGAATAATAATTAATATCCATTTACCCACCACCACTTTTAAAAAATAGAACATTGGGGCTGGGAATGTAGCATGTTGGTAGAGTGCTTCCCTAATGTGTAAGGGCTCTGGGTTCCATCCCAAGCACCACACATACACACACACATATACACACACACGCGCACACAATCATTCAAACATTATTGACAGCCTTAAGACCCTTCATGATTACATTCTCACATCCTTTTCCGTCCAGGGGTAACCAATATCAGTTTATCACTTGCTTTTCCTATGGTCTTGCTACATGTATTTCTCCTTTGAAAAAGTCTATTTCTTCTTTTTGTAATACTGGAGATTGAACCAGGGGGGGCCCAGCTACATGCCCAGTCCTTTTTATTTTTATTTTTTAAATTTTGAGTCTTGCTAAATGGCTAAGGCTGGCTTCCTGTGATCCTCCTGCCTCAGCCTCCTGAGTTACTGGGATTATAGGAGTGCGTTACCACTCCCTGCGGTTTCTTTTCTTTTTGACTTTGGCACTCAGTCTTGTTTGTGAAAATCCCCATCTGATGGGTTTAGCTTTGTCAATGCTGTTTGGCTTCTCATAGCCCTCCATCATGGGGATGTTCCACATTGTACCATGCTGCTGTTGCTGGGTGCTTGTGCTGTTTCTGATTTGCTTACAGTCAGTGCTACCAAGATCCTCCTGTTTCTGTCTGATGGCTGATGCACAGAAGCTTCTCTGCCGTGCATTACCCAGGAGTGCAACTACTGGGTCATGAGTTAGTTGTCACAACTCTAGTTTTATAACACCAAATTGTTTGCTAACAGGGCTTCCCCGGTTTATACTCAACTCTTGGCAGGGGACAGTTCCTCTTGCTCCCCACTCTTATTGACTGACACCATGTGATCAGATTAAAAATCGCTTGCCTACCGCTGGGTGGAAATGGCTCTCGCTGTCACGTGTATTTTCTAGGGAAAGAGAGAGAGTTGCTCACAGAGCCGAGGCGTCTGTCTCCATGGGCAGCATGATGGCAGGACCCCCAGCTTTGTTCAGGATGGGGAAGGACAGCAGCAGGAAAGGAGGGGGATTGCCTCAGAATCCCTCCGCTTCCTGCGAAGCTCCACCCAAGTGTCCTCACCACTCTGCTCCTGTCCTTCCTCCCAGGATGTCACCAGGGCTTGCTCATCTGCCAGCCTCTCAGGCCTCTCTGAGCCCACGCCTTGTGCTGAGATGAGCTCACTGGAATGCCCGGAGCCCATGACCGCATGAGCTTGTGGGCAGGCACAGCAGCCTCCGTGGGAAATGCCGGCACCTCACTCGCCCAGGCTGTCTGGAGGGAAGAAAATTCCACACAGTCCAACTGGACCTCACATCTTCCCTGTGAACCAAAGTGGGAGGGACAAACAGCCAGAGGCTTTGGAGGGGAGCCTGGGATGACTGAGGGCAGGAGGACCACTGTTGTCCCCTATTACCAAGGGGACCCAAAACCATTCCTGGAGGCTTTTCTGCCTGAATTACAGCTCTGTGGAGAAGGGTCGGAGTTTTGAGAGCTCAGGACCCAGTTCTTCCACTTCCAGCTGGGTGACTTTGGATAGGTGACATCACCTCTCTGAGCATCCATTGGCCCATTTATAAGTTGGGGACCACTTGCCCCCTTGACAGGTTGGGTGACTCTTCGTCCCAGGACTAATTCAGTGCCTGGACCCGTAGCAAGAGTTTCACAAAAAAATATATTATCTTTCAAATTTTCGGATATGTTTTGGGGTTGATAGCTTAGAATTAGTTTTCTTACATTGAAGCTTTATCCCTTCTCCAGGAGGATATATCTTTAAGATGAAGCACCCACAAGATTGAGAAATGGGAGAGAATATCACATTGCAGATTTAGCTTCTGAATGTTTTCAAATCAATCCATCCAGACAGACTGACCTTCCTAACAAAGCCCTGAGCTGAGCTCAGGAGGTACAACAGTAATGATTCTTGCCATTGCTCAGCTCTTTACTGGGTACCCAGGACCGGCCTTGCCAGGAGCAGTGTAAGTTCCCAGCATCCCTGGGAGGCAGGTTGGGTGGCCACTGTTTGGCCACTGTTCAGAGAAGGAAACCTGAGACTCAGAGAGGAGAAGGGATTTTCCCAAGGCCACACAGTAAGTCTGGAGAGCAAAGATTAGAGCCCTGACTGTCCCAGCCCAAACCAGACTTTCCCTGTGCCCTGCCGCCTCCCCAGCCCCGCCCTGCCCCTTCCCTGCACCAGCTGGGTCCTGAGTCTCAGCTCTTTTGGCTTCTCTGCTCTCTACACTTCAGCCAGCATGGTCATTTGGCCAGACCTGGCCCTTTCTGACTTCTGGGTCTTTGCTCTTGCCCCTTTAACTATCAGGAATGCCAGCCTTCCCAACTCTGACTACCAGACTTTTCCCAAACTTAGCCAGGAACAAGATGTTGTCCTTAAGAATGAGGTGAGGCTGGACATGGTGGCGCATGACTGCAATCCCAGCAATTTAGGAGGCTGAGGCAGGAGATCACAAGTTCAAGGGCAGCCTGGGCAATTTAGGAAGACTGTCTAAAAATTAAAAAAATAATAATAATAAAAATAAAAAATAAAAACATCTGGAAATGTAGCTCAGTGGTAAAGTACCTCTGTGTTCAATCCCCATTATCATGGGGTAAAAAAGAAAAGGATGATGTGGTGGGAGTGGGTGATGGATGGAATCTTTGAGATACATTGTTGAAAAATATTCGAACTATGAAACAAATTCATGTATAATCCTAATGATCAAATGTTTTCAAGTGTGTGTAGATAAGTTCTAAAATGGTCAAGCATTCCTGGGTTAAATCCCTAGTACCCACACCCCCCAAAAAAGTCAAATTTTTTTCTGGAATTGAACTTTCATCACAAAAATGCACAGGGATTTAAATGTTTGCAGTTCACGTCTTTGCTTAACAAAAAAGCATTTTGTTATTTTTTTTGCCTGTTTATTTATTTGTTTTAAGGGTCATTCATGCTCCTCCAGAAAACTTGGAAAATTCAAATGAATATAAAAAATGTCACACATACACCCCCCCAACACATACACTCCCTTGAGAAATACATTGTGGCAAGCTGATGTTTTTTCTGGTGGCTTTTGTTTCTCTCCCTGTCACAGTTTGGTTTGGTTTGTTTTCATTGCTGAGTAAATAGAAGGATGTTTTCTGATTCTTTCTGATTCATGATTTACAGAACTGATTTCTCAAACTTGCAACAAGCCCGTGATACTTCCAGCTCTGTGATACCTTGTCCCCAGTGGGAATCCTGGGGGTGGGCATATCAGCCTCCTCTGTGCTCTGACACCTTTGAAAAGGCAGTTTCAGGTCACTGTTGCCAGCCTTAGAGACGGTGTCCTTCTATCTGATAATTTCAGCCTTCAGAATTGTCCTTCTAGAACCTAACTCTTTACTTCTTTCTTTTTTAAAGCCCAGAGCTCCTGATCATGTGGCCCTCCCAATGAACCCACAGCGATCCTTGTGTTTTGCCACTTCCTGCTCCTGCATTCTTCTGTCCTGGTAACCGGAATGTTCTGTCTGTTCAGGCTCAAAACATTCAGTGGAATCAGAACCAAGCTAAGCATCCATCAGGATGTGTCAAGATCAATCTGGGGGAACCGAGCGGCTGATTTACTGTCTCTCTGACTCAGCGGGCGCTTCTTTTGAGTCTAGTTTTAAAAACTCCTGGCAGCAACCTGATATCCAGAACCTTCTCTGATCAGGGATGGGGAAATTTTGAAGCTTTTATTCAACACATTGATGTCTCCAGCTTTGAAAAGAGCCAAAATGCCAAAAGCCAGAATCCCAGAGCCCTGCCCACACTTCTGTGAGACCTTGATCATTGTCTAACAAATTCAGCATGTGTCCACTGGGCTGCACCATCTGCTGGGCAAGGTTCCAGAATGGCCAGACATGCCAGGATTCATCTGTTTTAGGAAAGACCTATAACTACCAGCTGGGAGTCGATTTGGTTTTCTTTCTTTATTTTTTGGTTCTGGGGTTGAAGCCAGGGGTGCTTAACCACTGAGCCACACCCTCAGCCTTTTTTATTTATTTTTTATTTTGAGACAGGATCTCACTCAGTTGTTTAGGGCCTCACTAAGTTACTGAGATTGGCTGTGAACTTGCAATCCTCCTGCCTCAGCCTCCCAAGCTGCTGGGATTACAGGGTGCACCACTGCACCTGGCCTTGGTGTTCTAGCCAAGTCTGCAGGTCCTTTCAAGGTGGTCTGTTCTGATGGATGGCCCCTACCAGCATGAAGCCAAAAGATGACCTTACTCTGTAGGCCAGGTGACTGGGAAAGAAGGAGCCTTGTGTGTGGAAGTCTGCAAGGAGAGCGAGCCACCTAGCATGGCCACGCCCAACCAGTCAGTAGAAGGCTTTCCCCAGGAGGCCTCCAACAGATCCCTGAACACTACCGAAACGCCGGAGGCCTGGGATCCAGGGATCCTACAGGCGCTCAAGATCTCCCTGGCCGTGGTCCTTTCCATCATCACGCTGGCCACCCTCCTGTCCAACGCCTTTGTACTTACCACCATCCTGCACACCAGAAAGCTGCACACCCCGGCCAACTATCTCATTGGCTCCCTGGCCACCACCGACCTCCTGGTTTCCATCTTGGTCATGCCCATCAGCATCGCCTATACCATTACCCGCACCTGGAACTTTGGCCAAATCCTGTGTGACATCTGGGTGTCTTCTGACATCACGTGCTGCACCGCCTCCATCCTGCACCTCTGCGTCATTGCTCTGGACAGGTACTGGGCCATCACCGATGCCCTGGAGTACAGTAAGCGCCGGACGGCTGGCCACGCGGCTGCTATGATCGCCGTGGTCTGGGTCATCTCCATCTGCATCTCCATCCCACCCCTCTTCTGGCGGCAGGCCAAAGCTCAGGAGGAGATGTCCGACTGCCTGGTGAACACGTCTCAGATCTCCTACACCATCTACTCCACCTGCGGGGCCTTCTACATCCCGTCCATCTTGCTCATCATCCTCTACGGCCGGATCTACCTGGCCGCCAGGAACCGCATCCTGAACCCGCCCTCGCTCTATGGCAAGCGCTTCACCACGGCGCAGCTCATCACGGGCTCCGCGGGCTCCTCGCTCTGCTCGCTCAACCCCAGTCTCCACGAGGGCCACTCGCACGCAGCCGGCTCCCCGCTCTTCTTCAACCACGTGAAGATCAGGCTCGCCGACAGCGTCCTGGAGCGCAAGAGGATTTCTGCTGCTCGGGAGAGGAAGGCCACCAAGACGCTGGGGATCATTCTGGGGGCCTTCATCGTCTGCTGGCTGCCCTTCTTCGTGGCCTCACTGGTCCTCCCCATCTGCCGGGATTCCTGCTGGCTCCACCCCGCCCTCTTTGACTTCTTCACCTGGCTGGGCTATTTAAACTCACTCATCAACCCCATCGTCTACACCGTGTTCAATGAAGACTTCCGCCACGCGTTCCAGAAAGTGGTCCACGTCCGAAGGGCCTCCGAGTCTCATTAGGGGGCGACTCTTGTTCAATCTTTTGGGTCCTGTGACTCCGTTGGGATTGTCTTTTAAACTTTTTTTTTTTTTCCCTCCCCTGGGAACTGGGTTGATTCATGATCTCTTGGGTTAATCAACAGAATTATTCTGAGTTCTCTTTCCTGTGTCTTGACTTCTGAGCCACCCAAAGCTGGGCCACTGGGTGAAAGGGGAGAGGACTGAATGAAGACTTCCCCTGACCTAATATTTTCGTGGTTCTTCTGGGGTGAAAGACACATGACCCACCGGATTCAGGTGAGAAACTCTCTGACTCTGTAGAAAAGACCCTGGGCTCAGAGGGAAGGCTTCCCGGTCAATCTGAGATTTGTTATGGGGGCTCAGTGAAGGATAAGATTAATGACCTGAATTGAAAGAGAATTTGGAGCCAGGATGGAGGAGTCTCCATCCCCCATAGCATCTTGATTAGAAAACCATACCCAGGCTGGGCACGGTGGCGTACACCTGTAGTCCCACCGCTGGGGAGGCTGAGGCAGGAGCCTGATCACAAGTTCAAAGTCAGCCTCAGCAATTTTAGTGATGCCCTGAGCAACATAGTGAGATCCTGTCTCAAAAAAAAATAAAAATAAAAATAAAAATTAAAAATTAAAAATTAAAGGGCTGGGGATGCAGCTTAGTGGTAAAGCACACCTAGGTTCAACCCCCACTACCAAAAAGAAAATAATACCCAAGAACGTCTTCTACAACATCCTCCTTTCCCTGTCATCCATGAGTAGTCCAGTGACTTGGAGAGAAATTCAGAAGGTAGGGATAGGGGAATGGGATGGTTGGGACTGGATTGACTACCCTGCAGCCTTCTTTCTCCCCCAATATCCCTGCCCCATGTTAATGTTCTGAGGTTAAAACTCCTGATCACTCCACTCACGGAGATCGACAGGCTTTGGACCCACCACCATTCTCTGAGTAGAACAGCATTTCATTTTTTTTCTGGATTATTATTATTTTTTTTTTACATCCTGTTCTCAATAGAGACCTTAAGATGTTGAGTCTTATTAAATAAAGAGCATGAGACATCGTGACGTGTCAAGTCTTTGGATAATTTTCCCCACTCCTCTGGATATAGAAACTGTCAACTCAATTCAGTTTTTAGCATTTACTGAGCACCCACCATGTGCCAGGCCCTGTGCGCTGGTCTTGATATTTGCTCATAGAAATGAGCATCAGTATGGCATGACAATTGAGAACTCTGGATCTGGGGCTGGTGATGTGGCTCAGTGGTACAGCACTTGACTAGCATGTGTGAGGTCCTGGGTCCAATTCTCAGTACACACACACACCCCTCAGAACCTGAGGCCTCAGTTCAAATCCAAGTGCTGGCAATTTCTAGCTGGGCAAACCTGGACCCATTTCTTAATCCCTCTTTACCTCATTTTCTTAAACTATAAAATAGGGATAATAATAGTATACATAAATTAATATAGTGCCTGGCATGAGAGTACTTGTCATTTTAGAGATATAGGAATCAACCTGCCCAAGGTCAGGCAGCAATGAAAAAACAACCTCTACTGTTTATTAAATGTCTGAAATGCTCTCTGAATCCATTTTCTCATTTATTCTTCATTCTCTTCTTATGGACACTCTGAAGAAACGTACCTGTGGTTAGGGAAGGTTTATTAAAGACAACATTTGAGCAGACTCCCCCAAGATAAGCCCTGTGGGGCAGGCGGGAAGATAAGGTGGGGAAGAGGCCATGAGGCCTTTGCAGGGACAAGGGGCGGTACAAGGAAACCCGGGATGGAGAGAAGAACAGGAGCAGAGCTTGGAGACCTGTCACACTTGGTGGGACCCCGGGAGAAGAGTGAGAACAAGAACATGGATGTCAGGAAGGGAGAGGCAGGCCTGGTGGGCTGCAGGTGTCTGCCCAGAGGACTCTTGTGCTGGCCTAAAGTTATTCTGGACAGGTCACAATGTGTCCCTGCACCATCTGTCTGTTCCAGAATCTCCTACAGAGCTTGTTGACACTGAATACCTGAATCAGAACCTCTGGCAGTGAGGCCCAAGAGTCTGCTGTTGATTTTTGAGACAAGGGTCTTGCTGTGTTCCCCAGGCTGGTCTTGAACTCCTGGGCTCAAGCAATCCTCCTACCTTAACCTCTCAGGTAGCTGGACCACAGGCACATGCCACCATGCATGCTAAGAGTCTGCTTTTTAAATAAGCCTCTCCCACTTCCTGAACTAGGAGACTGCTGTGTCTCTAAAGTTTGGGAACAACCGAGTTAGTGTGTTGCCCACCCTAAGGCCAGAGACACCTCTCAGCCCACTCTTCTCTATACCTGGCCTGCCCTTCCCTACCTTCCTCTAAGCTTGGCTGGTCCCTTCCATTCTGCTTTAGATCACCCTCCTAATCTGACAAAGATCAGGAATTCAGAGAACAGACAGGTAATGGTGAACAGGATGGCTCAGTGCCAAAGGGCATACCTGGGATTGCATACCAGTTCTGGAACTTATAGGCCTTGTGACCTGGGGAAAATCACCTAACTTCTCTGTGTGCTTCGGTTTCTTCATCTATTAAATGTGATTGTCAGTACACAACCCATCAGGCTTTTATGAGGATTCAATGAGATAGTGGTTGCAAAGTTCTTTGTTCAGTAAAATGTCACCAGTTACTGTTTGAGAACTTTGAGCCAATTATAAAAAGAGAAGCTCAAATATCACCTCCTCAGAAGCTCTTCCTGACTAGACCAAAGGTTGAAAAAACAACTTCATCAAGATATAATTCACATGCCACACAGTCCATGAATTTAAAGTGCATTTAATGAGCTGGGTGTGGTAGTGCACACCCGTAATCCCAGTGACTTGGGAAGCTGAGGCAGGAGGATTGCAAGTTCTAGGCCAGCCTCAGCAACTTAGTGAGGCCCTAAGCAACTTAGCAAGATCTTGTCTCAAAAGCAAAAATAAAAAAGAGCTGGGGATGTGGCTCAATGGGAAAGCACCCCTGGGTTCAATCCCCAGTGCTAAAAAAAAAAGTGCATTTAATTGCTGTGAGTGAATTCACAGAATTCTGCAACCATCATTACAGTTACCAATAGAACATTTTCATCAGCCATAAAGAAACCCTGCATTCCCCCAGGTATCACCCCCAGCTCCCCACACTCCCAGCCCCAGGAGCCTCACCCATTTCCAGTCTGTAGATTTCCCTATGCTGGATATTCCCTATAAATAGACTCCTATGGTGAATGATTTTTGTGTCTTGGCTTTTTTTACACCAGTGGCTCATCCATAGTGTAGCACGTATCAGTATTACATTCCTTTTTAATGCTGTATAATATTCCACTGTATGGCCATACCACATTTTATTTATCCATTCATCAATTATAGACATTTGGATTGTTTCCACTTTTGGGCTACTATAAACAAGGCTATGAATATTCATGTACAATTTCATGTAGACATAAGTTTTTGTTCTCTTGGATGTCTACTTAGGAATGGAATTGCTAGAACATACAACTCTATTTGCCCTTCTGGGGAAACGCCAGACTGCTTTCCAAAGTGTCTATACCAATTTGCCTTCCCATTAGCAGTATGTAAGGATTCCAATTTGTCACCTCCTTACTGGAACTTGTCATCACCTTTTTATTTATTTATTTATTTACTTTTGGTACTGGGGATTGAATTCAAGGGCACTTCACCCCTGAGCTGCATCCGCAGCCCAGCCATTTTGAGATAGGGTCCTGCTAAGTTGCCCAGGATGGCCTCCAACTTGCCTCAGGCTCCCGAGTCACTTAGTTTTCAGACATGCACCACTGTACCCAGCTTGTCTTTAAAAATTTAAGAGCAGATGAACTGACCCTAGGGCTGGAGCCTCACATATCATGAGATTGGTCAGGTAGGACTGGGCCAGGCAGGTGAGAGTGTGAGGCAAGAGGCTAGTGGCTGGCCAACCCCCGTGTTCCAGAGGAGTCAGCTGCGCTGGCCCCTTAGCCTGTCCTCAGCCCAGTCCTCTGTCCTTCAGATACCCTCCTCCTCCAGGCACTACACTCTGAGAGTCCAAGGAGAGGGACACTTTCTGGTCTTGGTCATTATTACCATTAAACTGCAGGCTCGGCTCTCACTTCTGGAGAATTGCACTCATTAGGTCACATGAAGGTCAACTTAGAAATAAGTGTGTGGGATTGTGGACGTGGCTCAGTGGCAAAGAGCTTGCCTGGCACTTGTGAGGCCCTGGGTCCAGCCCCAGTACTGGAAAAAAAAAAAAAAAAAAAACTTCCCAAAACATGTTTCCCAGGGTCATAGAGGAAGCCTATGTTGGGGACCTTTCCTAGTTTCTGTTATTGGCAAATATAGCAGACCTGCAGGGTACCCACCTCACAGCCAATTCTATTCTTTGCTCACAGTTTATTTACGGAAAAAAATTATTTATATATACTTTTTTTTTTCTTTGAGATGGGCTCTCACTATGTGGCCTAGGTTGGCCTTGAACTCCTGGGTTCAAGTGGGCTTCAACCTCCTTGAAGTAGCTGGGTGCGTAGCCCTGTGTCCAGCTTCCCAGGCCAGTTGAAATGGCAATGAGGTTGGGCATGGTAGGGCATTCCTGTAATCCCAGCAACTCAGGAGGCTGAGACAGGAGGATCACAAGTTTGAGGCCAGCCTCAGCCACATAGCAAGACCCAGTCTCAAAATAAAAAATAAGAAGAGCTGAGGATGTGGCTCTATGGTAAAACCCCTCTGGATTCAATCCCCAGTACCAAAAAATAATAAAGAAATAGCAATGGGCTCTGCCTTCCAGAATGTGAATCCTGAAGTTTGAATATCTGGGCACCACTGACACAGCTCTCCTGCTCTCACCAAAGTCTCACGTGCCACTCTGCCCTATAACCCTGCAGCAGACCCTGAACCCTGCTGGGGTTCTCATCGATCTTTGTACTCTTAGTACGTGGAACACAGCCAGCATTTATTGAGCTCTGACTGTGTACCCAGGTATGCCCTAAGCATTTTATGAGCATTAACTTGCATGAAGCTGCT